GCCCCAGGTACCCCGCTCCTACGCTCATCTAGCGGGTTTTTGACCGGTAGGCTGCGGCTCACCGTGTTTATTTGCTGAAGTGACCTCTCCAGGGGCGGGTGCGGATAATGGAAGTAAGCAAGATGTTCAAGCAACTTGTTTTGTGAGACTGAACTTTTTCCGGCCTCTACTCATTGACGTCTCCGGTATGATTGGATTTGCGGCTGTGAGGAGCCATCCTGTGTAGTTCGCAGGGTCATGGAGGCACGTAAACCATCACGCCACGTCAAGGTGCAGTGATGGTACCAATCACAAGATCCACAGTGTCTTCCATTCACAGTTTATCTCTAATATGGAACTGGAGGTGATGGGAAAGGAAGTAGACCTTACCCGTTATCGAAATCCTAATTATACTGAATAGTAAGAGGGTAAATCCTAGGTATGGAAATGAATGACGTATAGGTTGTCCGTTGCTAGGTTTGGGTCACGGGGGTAAGATTAAAAATTGAAAGCTGCAGGATCGATAAATATTAGCAAAATAGCCAAATGCGTTTCATCACTACCGTCGCAACCAGGGTAAGTGACCAGTTGATGAAAAAACAATGCATACAGAAAAGGACAGCGATTTAAAAGGTGAATTGAACTCACTTTGACAAACAGGACGGTCATATGAGAAAACGTGTTGTAGAAGGTGGAATGCTGATAGATCAAGGCCAGCGCTTTCAGCAGATTTGGCATTTTCTTTAACATCAGTTTCTACAAAAGAATGAGACGGAAATGAAATAGGGGTAACGACGTGCGCCATATAGCCGAACGTTCAAACAAATTTATCAATGCATTCATGAATGATATACCTCATGCGAATCGTCACTCTTTCAAAACACAGAACGAAAACTCATCAAGGTCGAAGCGGTTCTAGAAGATGGCCATGTGAATATATTATAGTGTATCAATCGGTTTGACGACTTTCGTTCAAAACGAAGTATTGAGCTACGCACATAAGCACATTGTTTAATTCGCCTGTTGTATTTGTTTTCGGGTTGGAACATCTATGAAGTTACTGCATTCGGACTCAGAAGACAAACTTGATCGATCTCTAGAGAAACTGGGTGATTGTAGCAGTTGGAGTACTCACGAATCTCAAACCTGTCGATGCACGAATTGCAATCGAAAATGCAACACGGAATCACAATGGTAGTCGTATACTGAAAGTTCCCGTCACCCAGATGCAGAAAAAGGGTCACAGAAGTAGTAGTTCGTATGTAGAAAGCAATCACACGGATTGAACAATAAGCAAATAAAAATATCTTTAGTTAAATGGGTATCAACCGATTTCCGTTCGTCTTTTTCGCGTCGCTCGACATCTGTTTGAACTGCATGGCGTGTAATTGGTCAATACTATTAGCCTGTGGTTTATTTTGCAGAAATTGTAACGCGTAACTCCTTGACTGGCGTTATCTCGGAGGGTTGTATCACTATAGTAATATTGTTGAACACTGTTAAATGAGGTGTGCGTGCTTCAAGCCCCTTTGACATATCCAATTTGCCCTCATTCGATGTTTTCATCTCGGTAATAATATCAAGCTTCGTAAGCCCTTCAACGTTTCTTCCTCAGTTGATCAAATGGGGCGATTAAAAACCTTCAAGCTAAACCGACAAACGGAAATGCAGGACGAACGGTTGTGTAACCTGAGGCGGCAAAGTGATGTACTTTGTAAGCAGTATACCTTGTGTGTCTCTGGTAGCTTGTGAGTGCTTCAACTGCCACTATACGTTCCACACTATCGCCCGGAAGTCAACTCAACGTTTCCCATTTTTTTGGTTTATTACACATCTAAGTGTGAAGAACAGCAAACGTGGTAAACCCCGTAGTTACGAGGACCTGCTGTTCAGTGGCGGAAACCGGCAACCTAAGCCCCGGGACTTGGAGTGGTAAACTACATAAGGCCCTGATAGGTTAAGCGTGGTATTAAACCGGACAATAGCAGAGCTGCCTACCACCAAAGTCAGGTGGCGGTAGCAAGGCTCAAACCTCGGATCATAGAGTCAAAAGCACGCCGATCACAGCGACTAAACCACTGTGCCATCACCACTAAATAACAACCAATAGATAAAAATACAAGTTATACACAATACTATACAACACAATACAATGTGTATTATCGTTAATCCAGGTACTGGCACGTCGTGCAAGGTGGTTAGTATGAATAGTTACTTTTATTACCGCAAAATATACAGTTTCATTTTGTCATCACACCAATTTGCGGGCACATTTGATTGATAATTAGCCATATTTTGGACTTCATCACTGGCAACCCAGTTTGTGCGATCATTGATAGGCTGTTCAATAATCCAAACACGAGTAACATGACCGAGTTCGTAAACCAAGGTTTTCGAACTTTCTAATAAAATGGTAGTTTGACAGTCGCAAACTTTCTTTTGACGATTATAGTTTAGGTTTACCCATGCTTCCATTCGAAGAATATTGTAGATTGGACACCGTCCATCTCGACACATATCACACTGCATGAAAGCCTATCCGGTGATATGTATACGATAAACTTCAATCGTAAGATCCGCAGAGGTCACACCCTTGAGTTAGTGCACAACCATGATTGCAAATGACCTCCCGAGTTACTGGTCCGGATGCCCGCAAGACTCATATGCATTACAGCCTACATAATAATGTTCGAACATTGATAGTCCTTCTTTTCGTTTTTATTGATATGTCTGTGCCACATACGATAGGACTGATTTACACTTGAAGCCTTGCACTCGTCAAAATATGCTGTGTGAACATGATGATAGTTAATCACAGATTTGCTCGTTACTTCTACAAGGGATGTGGCAACTGTAATAGTGAATTGTATCTCCTTACTCTCACCCAAGACCATTCTAGTTAGTTTTAGAATTGAGAGTGCGATAGATTCAATTGTGTATGAATATTTGGTATGTTGAAGATGCAAACATCCTACGTAAAGGAGGCCTTACAGTAGATAACCATGCCACATGTGCGTCAGTCTGCATTGGTCAAGCAAAGATGTAAGCAAGTAAGTCAATACCCGCGCTTATTCAAAGTCAAAGTTTTAGTCAAAGTTTTATTATGGGAATAGCTTACAAGCTGGTGCTTCTCTTGTCCCATAGGATGTTTGCACAGATAAATCGTTACACATCGAAAAAGGAGTCACATAGAGATCCGGGTAGGAGATAGAGAATGTAGGCTACAGTGAATTTCCGTTTGCCTTTAGTGTACGAATGTGAGGTGTGCCAAGATTTTGTCGGGTCTCTGCTTGAAAGATTCAATAGTGGGTGCACAAACGACATGAGATGGAAGGGCATTCCAAGATTTGCATACTCTGACAGCAAAAGACTGGCGATGGGCCACCGCGGGAGCCGACCGAATTCGTGTTCGATCGAACGGAGGCAGTGACGCGGCAGCTAAAGATCCTGGGCGGTGCGCCGCAGGATCCATGGCGGGTAGTTGGGCCCGCAAGAGTGCCACTCGTGGCGTAGAGCGCGGTGGCAAATGATTGTTATAGGGACCGTGCATAGCACGGTAGTGTCCCAGGCAGAGCGTGGGACACGGTCCGAAGACCACACACATATACACACACACAAACAAACATTCACACAAAACTTACCAGATTTGTGTGATTCAATGGGACGCATAACTTCTCGACCGTGGATAGGAACTTCACATTTTCTTTTGCCTCATTATAGGCATTGGTTACTTTTTTGTCCAAATCAATCCATTTCTGTGAAATAATGACAATTAAACAAAGACCAAGGGTGGGAGGATTTACTAAATTTCAATCTCCAAATGCGAGTTCAGTGACTCTCATAGACCAATTGAGAAAGCAACATTTGGACTGCTCGCGCGCGCGGGCGCGCACACACAAAATTGCAAATAGTGAAAAGCTGTAGATCAGTATGCGTGCACACATAGGATAATAAGTTTAGTGAGTGTTTGTGTTACATATCTCGTACTTGTCTGATTTCAGAATGCATGTCAAGCAAATTATGATGTGCAGAAATTGACCAGTATGTGACATGATCGTGGGTTGTAATACTGATTGACGTAGTAAACTGAATCGGGAAGCTAGGTTTCATAATGGATTCACAATCGGAGATTTCAATGAACCCCAGCCTATCAGAGGGTCTGTAGATGAGAATCGCTGGATGTGTGTGTGTTGGGAGGGGGGGTTGATTGCAGAATGCAAACAAGAGGTTGATTTAACGAAAATGTAACAAAAATGTTGAACTTTAAAAAATCAATTGCGGGATACGATATTACAGCCACTCGAGTCAGGCCTCATTTTTTTGTAAGTCCACAGACCGAATGCCGAACTAAGAAGTTGCTTGGTGGGAGAACGCAACTTACCATACTCATCATCGTACAGCGAAATACAGTGAGGTGAACTTAACTGATCGCTGCCAGACTGGCAATGAATGCAACATTAGTGGTAAAATTTAAGGTGGACAGGGACTGGAGGGCGAAGAAGGTGAACTAAATATGGTCAGCACACAGAGTACGCAATCGAACTCTGCACACATACCATTTCAAGCATTCTGACCTGATGAGAAACGACAACAAAAACGCCACTGCTGTCAGTTCGCCGCCGCATCCGTCACTGTCTCCAACCAACCGGTTGTGGAGTCTTTCAGACCCTAATCTGGAAGGCGAGAAACACCTACTCTACCTAATGGCTCTGTGCATTTCTTCATGCCTCGTCTCCACGTCGTCTGTTGACCTCCACGCGGTTTCATCTAGCTACAGCGAATAAAGCGCGGTGCGGTAGACGATGGCTGGGCATACGCAATACACAGCCTATCCAGCGAAGTCTACTCATCCGAATTCGGTGTGGGATAGAAGTTTTATCCCTGATAGCCTCCCAAACACACGACGACTTACCTCCCGATTACTAACCCCACGTGAACACCGATAATCGAAAACTTCTAGTCGACGGATATCTTCTACTCGCAAATTCAAGGTCTCACAACCGTAAAGCAGAACTGAACGAACGGCGACATCATATACACGACCTTTCAATTTCAATGAAACGTCGCGTCTACGCCAAAGGTGTTTCAGTCCTGCGTATGCTGCTCGAGCCTTGGAAATGCGGGCGATTATCTCCCTTGCTACACTACCGTCATTGGTCACGCAACTACCTGAGTGGGAAAGTAATCCACCACAACTTAATCCTGGTCATTTAGTGTCAGAGTGGGAGTAGACGAAACCCAGTCCTGCAGCATCACTTTGCACTTTGAAAGTGCAAAGCACATACCGAATGTGGCCACTGCACTTGTTAATCTATCAAGTGCACTTTGCGCGTCCTCCATACATTCGAGCAGACAGACGATGTCATCGGCGTAGTCTAAATCGCACAGCTTTTCTCCAGCTGTCCATTTGTTACCTACGTTTTGGAATCCCCTTAGTGCGCTCTCCAGTATTTCGTGTACTAAATTGAACAGGAACGGCGAGAGAGGGCATCCTTATCAACCGCCGCTGCTGGTGACAAACAGCCTACTTTGTTCGTTTTTAACTCTTGCAATACAGGAGGTATGTGAGTACCGTGACCTTAGTAGGTTATTGTACCTCTACGGCACTCCTTTTCGAAGAAGGGAGCCCATCAGAGCTTTGCGGTCGACTGAGTCGAAAACTTCTTTCCGGTCGAGGAATACTGCGATCGTTGGCCGACGGTCGATATGATGCAGATCAAGGACCTCACGCAACGTAAAAATTTGATCAATACATCCACGGCCAGGCCGGAATCCGGCTTGCTGTTCAGGGATGTTGGTCTCTCCTAAAGGAGCCATACGTCGAAGTATAACTTTGGTAAATTTCGGGACCAAACTGATCCAGCGTTGATCTTTGCAATCGCTGCGAGATCCTTTCCTGAAAATGGGAACCATCAATGATTCGCCCCAAGTTGAAGGACTGCGCTCTTGCGTCCAAATGTTGCGCAGTAGGGTATTAATAGGGGTTACGAGGTTATCACCTCCCATCTTGAAAATGGTGGGAGGGAGGTCATCAGGTCCTACTGCGTTTCCTCGCTTCAGAGCCTAAATGCAGGACCGAACTTCTGCTTCCGTTGGAGGATCGCGCGACACTACCCACGAAACTTGAGTTGCTGATGAGGCAACCTGATTAACGGCAGGCCAACTGAACTGTTTACTGAAGTATTCCGCCCAGAGATCAAGTCGTTCATCCCTTTTGTGAATAGCTTGCCCCATCTTATCGCAGACTGTTTCACTAACTGGAGTTCGTCGACCTCCCGTATGGCGCATCAGTCGGAACAGTGTTTGACTATTCCCTGATGCAGCTGCTACTTTCATTTCAGTTCATAGCTATTGTTGCCCACCAGTTCTGACGGTTCTTCTTAAGGCTCTTCGTGAGTTGACGATGCAGATGCCACCTAAATCTATTTTGATCCCGGCCGGTTGGGATTTGCCGTTTTTCTCCATCAAAACTGCTGACTCCTGAGATATCCAACGCCTCCGACGGGCTTGATTCTCTGACCCACAAGCAACATTCGCTGCTCAATGCATTACTCGCCTAATATGATCCCACTGCTCATCTCCATCATCAGGATTAGGCGCGCTTAGCCCATGCACTAGCTCTGATTCATAGAGTGCACGAACTGCTGGAACAGGTTTTCGATGATGAGCTGTACGAGAACGACACTGATAGGGAGTAAATTGGTTAACACGGAACGAAGCATGCAATCAACAACAATTGTTTCATGATAGACTCCTGATTAGTGATCAAGTCCTTAACCAGCCTGTTTCTCACCATCTGTTATTCCACTGTTAAATTCACTAATATGCTCCCCGGAAACACTGTGCATTTTTTAACCCCATGAGAATCCGACAACTGCCTTCTCATACTATTCACCTAATGAGAGTAGTATCTCACAATCATTCGTCCGTTTAAATGTATTTTATGACATCGTTTTAGATTCTATCATGGATAAAATTGACACAGGTATCAAAAATGAAGTAATGAAAAAAAACGTGACCGTTCTGAAAGCAAATTATCTGGACAGCTATGCTCGGCGCGAAGTTCATTCAAATAAAATTAGTAATGCGAGGGAGATGCGTAACGAGAGAAAATTGAAATATTGTGAGATTTGAGTCTTCGATTAATTCCTCTTGGTATTGTTCAGTTCATCGCTAAAAATCACGTTTATCCTCGAAGGGGATGAGAATGCGGTCGAATTAGGACGAAGAGTGCATTCGGCCTGCGTATGACTCTCTATTCAGGTGTTACCTATTGAACCGAGTCTATCAAAACCCGTCCAGTTGGAATGAACTGATTCTTCCATAGACAAACAAACAAAAGTACTTGTTGAGTGAATTCCCGAGGGAGAATAAAGGTTTTCGGTGAGGTGGGGTTAATCTGTCCATCCCTCCTCTCTACCCGAGAAAGTTATGCTGTCGCTCGTTGATCGAGTGAGCGTTGGACACGAATGAACGAACGCGACTACAATTGATTTCTGTAGGTCGCATTGGATTCACGTCAAGGTAAGTCGACAGATCAGTCACCGAGCTCGGACGCGAATGGTGTCATATGTCGTTGTGTGTGTGTGTGTTCAGTCTCAGTCCTAAAAAATCAAGTGAATTCCAGTGAGGCTGCGGTATCCTTGAATTTCACTACTTTTCTCAAAGGAGTGCTAGTAGTAATGTATTCGAAGTCGGAGACCCTTGTCGAACAGAGCGTTCACAATTACAGTGGTGATGAACAATGAACGTGAGTTGCGCACTGCGCATGAGGAAGAGATTAGAATATTCTATCTCAAGTCTTTAATCAGCAGTAAACTTCATCTGAGCGTATCTGTAACCGGCAGGGGAATTGCACGATGCCATATAAGCAGAGAATGTTTAGATGAATATACGGCTGTCACAAAATACCACCCTTAAAGAAACCCAGAAGGTTAATGTGGATCTAACAAATCTCATCGACAGATTTGTTGATAGCGAATGATGGTGCTTCCAACATTTGCCATAACCATGCTAATTTGAATACACAAGCCTTTCCACATCATTTCTCAACTCGTCCGTAGTCATTGGCTTTTGGCTGAACATACATTCGTTCTACTCCGAACCGATGCAGTTTGAGACAAACGCTCAGGACATTTTTTCACCGATGAAACTGCCGGGTATGCTTGAACGGTAGGGACCTTGAATTGGTCGTATGCTCCCCGGAAACGGAGACCTAATGTGACCGGTCAGTCAGACCAAATGTGCTTTGTCATCGTCCGTCGAATCCACCTTGTCATGACTTTGATTTGTTTTTCACGGGTAGCCCTACACCACACATTTTCGCAAGCAATAAATGGTATTGCACTCAGCATCGCGTTGTAAGACCATTCACATAACTGATAGCGGTTCCATAGAACTTCAATAAAGATCTTTATTGAACACATAGAATCTCATAAACACAGATAAACATCAACTCACACAAATGTGAACCCATTTGTACGCGTATATATCCCATTAGATTATCCCTATGTTTCAAAAAGTCTTATCTTGATGTTTGTGATATTCAGACACAGATTTTCGGGAGGGCTGAAACTGATTTGTTTTATTTTGTTTGTTTTTTTGTTGTGACCTAACCAAGCTAGACAAAATGTTTGCGAAAACGTAAAACGGCTACACGGAATTCAGTTTTACGTTTGTCAGTGTCAGAATTCAGATTGTCTCTTGTCTGGGGATAAAGATTTTTTGGAAAGATTTCCCGATGAAATGCACGAATTTCCGCAGGCTTTTGGTTTCAAACTATCTAGGAACATTTGTCGACATTCATCCAACCTATTCATTATCTGGTCCCAGAACTGAAGAACTATCGTGAATTCTTGTGCATCATGAAATTTTAAGTTCTCCACTTCATCCACTGAGGTAAATGGGTTTACGGACATTTCGTTCACAATACAGAATACTGGACTCGTTCATCCGGATCTAACTAGGCTCTGTTGTATCGATTTTCCGAGGAAGGGGGAAGGGGGAAGCGGGGGAAGCGGGAAGGAAGGGGGGGATGTTGCATGTGACAATGACGGAATCAGCTTTCTTCACCTCATTGATTCAGTGCAGTGACACGCGACGGATGTCGTACGGGTACAAACGCGATTCGAGACGGACAAAACGGTTAAGCGGGCAGAAAAATATTTCCCGCTTGTCCGCTGTCGTTTCTTTCTCAGCACAAGAAATTGGGTTCTTTATCCTAGTGTGTTGATTAGCCCTCATTAGCTGTGCCAGTTTGGAATTGATGGTATCGGAACAGCAAATCGACAAGGATGATTAGAACTATCACCACCACCACCACCACCACCACAACAACAACAACAACAACAACAACAAAAGGAAACAAAGCCAATAGTGTACAAAAATCGAATCCCGTTGTTACCCATATAACTTTCAAGAAAAAAAGATATAGATCGACCGCATTTTCATGATTAATGGCTACTTAGACCAGGATAGAGTTCTGCAGCTTTTCGGATCCGAGATAAGTGATTATTTTGTGCTGTAGACAACGAATTTTGATTAGGAAACTACACAACACTTGATTGCACTTTTACAGTCTAACTAAAAAGCCAGATATGGACTGCACCAGCACCAGCATCACCACTACCACTATTACTACTAATACTATCAGTAATAATAGTATAAATAAACAACAGTGACACGAACAAATATTTTCAAGGTGTTACAGTTGCTACCGTGACACATTGATCTCCATCAGCGTCCTACTGAATGATCACTGGCTAGAATACAACAGCACACTCGTTGGAGCATTTTTTCACATCTTACAGTATCACACATTTTGAACCTTGACCAACTGATCTCAAACAGGGGGAGGGAAAATCGATTATATCCTGATAAAGGGAAATGACAATTTAACCAAAGATTTATCTTGTAGATTGGAACGTAAATAATCGTAAATGATACCAGTTGGAAACCTTGATAGACATGACCCATATCGCATATCCAAACTTTTCATTTTCTACAACCGCTTCAAAAAGGGATTTCACAAAATCACCGTATACCTGGCTCTACTTCTTATACTATGCACTCAGTTTACGTAGAGCTATTTGATTGTTCGCATTCCTGAAAGCCTTTTTTATGCTGTGAGCTGTTTGTTACGTACACTGTCCAAACGCAGGACAGTTACAACATACGGTTATCACGCAAAACATATGTACCGTCCGAATTCTGTTTCTTTTTTCGTCTCCAAAAACCATCACTTCTTCGTAATTTTAATGATCGGGTGCAAAAAAATGCCACATCTGAACAGTCGGGGAAATTGTCTAATCCAGACTGACCTCCATTGCTTTGGAACGAGCACTTTGTAAGGCCACGATCACATTCTGAATATCCTGACGGCGTAGTTCGCTCACTAACGAGTTCATTCGTGTCATACGACATTTCCAGAAATCGAATTCACCATGCGGACCATTTTGTTCTCGTTCAACTCGGAGCAATTCGATCTCTTTAACTTCCTGCGGTTGGATAATGTGGGAGATTTTTTTAGTTGTTGTTTGATGGCGATATAACGGTAACCAGCAAATAAAATAGGTATTGATTTCACCACAGAACCAATCATTTGAAATCCAAGGATGACAATACTCGATTCGAACGAGACAGAACGAGCTTCGTGGGAAGTAGCAACGGCAATCGCACTTATCAATAATTAGAAAAGGTTTAAGCCTAAATACCAGATGGACATAACTCCAGTACGGCCTGGTGGATTGTAATCAGCAGTATGAGGCCTTCGTTGTTGCCGATGCCTAGTCACTGATGAATTAGAAGATGACGAATTAGTAATAAACATGTACAATACCTATCACAAGTTTCAGCGATAAAAACTCGATGAATACAATGGGTTTAATTCAGGCTGAATGGGCATTATCTGAAGGGAATTCTGATAACGTTTATCGACGAGTACAAGGCTACGAAAACCCTATCCAGGAGACTCGGTTATACAAGCTGCCTAGATTTTCCTGGTTTGGGACCTCGAGATCAGCGTAAACAATGGTTAGAAACACCGAATGATAGGCCTGTATGTTGCAAACAATGATGCTCTTGTATCCAGTCAATCTCTTCACAACGTCACTCTTCATTTTTGCTATGTCCCGTTTAAGTGGGCAAATAGGCACACAGTCAATTAGGGAGTACGTTTATTGTAGTAGGCACATATATAACCGGTCTGTAGGCCAGTAAGCAAGCAGGAACGGGTAACACATAGACAGCAGGCAGGCAGGCCGACAAGCCGATCAGGCGTCACACGACATCCGAATGGCATCTTTCAGGCACTCAAACAACCAACAATTTGATCAACGTGAACAGTTCAAAACAAACACCTGAGTGACTGGAGCCGACCGATATTATAATCGAGTCAGTCCGCATACGTGAGTGCATTCGTGCGTGGTAGTATTCGTCAATCAATTGATGAATTAGGTTAGGAGTGAAAGAGTGTTTACTAGAGACAATCAGTTTGATCAAGAATCTCGATCGGTAAGTAAGGTGATGTATAAACAGTCCGAATGGATAATCAGAAGTGACCAGTTGACTGTAATCGGTATAGTTCGGAAGGGGAAATTTTGAAATGCTGGTGAGAAACGTATTTCTACTTTTGTGCATAAAACTATACTGATCAAAGATTTGCTGCATTCACGAATTGGACCGCAATACCAGCAAGCAATAAAATCCGTCTCGTATCGGAAGAAAGAAATGAACCGACTATGCCCGAACACTATGCCCCAAACATTCTCCTCCATAGGAAACACGTAATCGCACAATAGCTATTTTCAACTCACTTCATCAATTTGTCGCATCCAGTGAGAGGCACTCTCTTCCAAACTGTTCAAAAATTCCGGATGGCGACTCAATTGGATCAGNTTGGATCAGGCCATCAGCATCCATATTTTGCAATTGTTCGGGTAATTTGGATGGGGCCAGAATCACTTGTTCCTTTGAACAAGCTATGATAGCTGTCCGAGAACAAAAGTATTTAAATCGGTACGTGAGAAACCATCAGATGTCTTTCATCGCTAGGGGTAAGCACATCTTAGTATTGGCCTAAGAGATTGACTAATTGTGTTGAAACTGAAATTGTTTATTTTTTTGCGGGAGGGAGGAGGCGTGGAGAAGATAGCGTATACATACGGGTCCGAATACATCACCACATTTACATGCATAATGCATCATTGAAACTGGACTTCGAACATATATATATATATATATATATATCACAGATCTGAGGTGAGACTGTGTACCAAACAGATCATGGTACAATTGTCAATATAAAAAGAAAAGCCTTCCACGATTTTCATTTTGGCTGAATACTGCCAGGTTGACCAGACCAAGGCGACCCGGGCTTCATGTCAGCTGTTCAATTCAAGTGGTACGGGATACTATCCAATTGTTACGATAACCGAAATTCATCAGAAAGTGTCCAACTTTTCACTGTGTAACAAATTGAAAGGATTCTTTCAGAACCGAGAAAGGAATCTGTGATTGTTTTGGATGGTTGATCCATATAACTAACTAATCCATCGCGTTCATGGCCCCAATTTCCAAATTTGTCACGCAGCTCAGCGCGCTGCAAATGAATCCGAGTTAATTCCGCTGCTGTTGTGCAGCTTCTTATTCCCCATGACACATCCGTTTTTCATAAAAATATTTTAAAATGCAGTTGCTTCAATTAAACCCGCATATTCCTTGTGGTGATCTAAATGCACAGTCGACTCCTTTACCTACATTTCTCCTCAACTTTGTTACAATCTATAATGGAATACTTGTTCTTTGCCAAATGGATGCAGTTTGATCAATGCAAACTTCGACTTTCTATCTCCAACAGTTCGAAGTAGGTTTGGCTGTTTTTTCCCATATAAAGGTTTATAATCACACAGTTGTTACCGCTTTAAAGTACAGTCATGACAGACAAATCCTCATTCGTCATCATGCCGCTTTTGTGAGGTTACGTGGTTCGATGTGATTTTATGTCTCCGATTTTTCGGTGGGTTTATTCGTTTCTTTTCCCTGTGTCAACTGTCAAACACAGAATTTTTAGATCGAAAAAAACGGATTATGCGTGTCTATGTGAGAAGAAAAGTATTTTTTCCTGGTTACGGAATATTGTCCTTGTGACATTAGGGGAAAGCAACAATCCTTTTCACTCATCGAATCGAAGAAGTTCAAAATACAGAGCACAAAACAATTATCATTTTGGTAATCAGACGTCACATTCAAATATAACAGCACAAAGTATCCCGTTAATAACTAGTTTGTTCCCTCGTTTTCGCACATTGCACAGGGTAAATGTGTTTTAACAAATTCACAAAATGCACTCAAACATGGACATCACGCCAATTTGTATCTGAGCAGTTTTGTTCCTGAATTCTTTGGCATATTTACAAAAATAAAATCCCACTGCAAAACATGATTCAGAGATTATGTTGAAATGAGACAGGAATCAGACAAACAAATAAAACAAAAAACGGATGCACCAATAATGTACTTCATTGACGATTATTTTTGTGTGCGACCAGTGTTGGTTTTGTGAATCACCACTGGATAGGGTCCGAAAATTGGCGTTACCGAATGCATTCTTTCAATTCTGACAACTAGTGAAACAGTTCAGCAACTGGAGTTAGGTTGAACCGAACCACCCTCACTTGGGTACAACAAGTGGAGATTCGTGGTCGCACAAGTAAAATGCTTCGTGGATTTGGCGACAAAGAATCTGTTTCTCATCATAATCTTCAAGGTCCTCTGATGGGTTATGGACAAAAATTACAGGCCGCTGAGTACTCACGCGAAATTATGTCAGTTCAGTTTCAGATTACATAACCAGTCACCGAGTACTTTGTTTTGGTTGCTGTTTCCTGGTTAACCATCTTGCCGCTTCGTCGATTGGCCCAAAGTGACGTTCCGCTGTCTGCTTCAGTGTGCTTTGCAAATAAAAGAATTCAACTATTCACGGAATATGTCCATTGATTAAGAACCGAGTGTAAGCTGCCTCACAAAGTCTGGCGAAAAACTTGAGGAACTGATTTAGCCCTCTTACCACCTCGGGCGGATAGGTAGTTTTCAAATCACGGAATATGTCCATTGATTAAGAACACAGTGTTCTGAATTCAACTAAGGTCAAGAGTATATTGTAATCCAGTCATCGTAATCTCAAAATACGACCGATCACGAACGCACTTGCATCACCATTACACATTGAATTATATCGCTACATCATATCTTGAACCACATTTGGGAAAAATTAATTCTTACAAGTTTTCATCCAAAATATCTCTTCTTCGCCGAAGTTTCAACCAACGCTTTTAGGGAGGACTGTCATTAGTTGGTCTAAATAAAGCGATACTACCCCCATTGTCAAGAGTTCTTACGCAGATCAAAATTTCGCTCATTATCGTAGAAGTTATACACAGGCTCTAACTGGATAGAAACCCTCGAACTTCAATCCTCTATTCTTGAATCAGATTGATGGGATAGACTGTGTAAACAACAACAGTGGCCTCGGTCTCACAGTATCCCACTACGCATTCCGCAACACCGTTTTCAGTGATTTGGCTCAGAATCGAATCAGTTGGATAATGTTCTGATGAAAATGAGTCTTCAATCACAGCTCTTTTTCCCTAGGGTGTGTATAAAGATCGGCAATTAAACCCCTCCATTTGGCATGATCACATTCAATTCAAAGCCTCTTAAAATGTTTCACTAGAACAACCAAAAGAAAACCTGAGCAACACCATCATGAAATGTAGCTTTAGCACGTAATGTCTCGGTACATATGTTTGTTTTTTTCAAGTTGCTGGTTCCAGGGACTACCACAATAATATGAATCAAAGTTTTATGGTATCACTCGTTTCACGTAAGCCAGTGCGAACGAAAGCCAAGTCATTTTGCACATTTAAGGGGTCAATAGTTTGGACCGGCATCAAATTGTTGAATTCCTGCTGTTGATATTCGACAACAAATCTTGAAAGCCAAAGCTATTCTGTTACTTTGTAAGCGTTTATACCACATGTGAATCACATTAAACTAGTATTACTTCACTCTATCAAGAAGTGCATTCACTATATTGAAACTGTCTGCTCAGTCACTGAGTAGACGAGCCCCAACAGTTCAGCCTCATTTTTAGCTACAGTGGCCGAGGGTGCTAGCCGCTACCTCGTGTAATTTAGACAAAAAGGAAATAGGTGAC